AAATACCAACCACGTTTAACTATTTTTCCAAATTATTTGGAAAAGAAAATGGGAATAATGAACAGTTCCAGGAATTACTTGTCAGTTTGTAAAAAGCAAGGTCATTCTGCAATCTGTAGAAAACACCAGCAGTATTTTTCATGAGGCATAGGTATTTCCTGAGACATATGGCAGAAAAAATGCCTGAAGCAAAAAGCGGAAATGAGAGAAAATAGAATGAGTATTCAGAACTCGCAGGCTAATCACTTCTTAACTTATAACCACATTCCTGTTGGCTTCAATTCCACTTCAAATCTCTCAATTATTGAAGTAAACAAAGTCACGCCTGAAAGAAAGGAAGAACAGCTGCAGCTTAAACCTTTTCTGGGATGTGTAAAACATCCATAAACTGGAATGCAAGCTAAACCCGTAATATTGAGAAAAATCAACAGCACTTGGAGTGTTATAACACTCTTCATGACAATACATTTTGAGTTTCAAGAGTAAACAACATATTAGAATGTAAACAGGAAAATATGATTACAACTCAATGGATAATAAAAGTGGTATACTGCTGATTTTTAAATTGACTTTTAACTTGTAAACAGAAATGAAAAGTATTGAAGAGAAAATAAACAGTCCACTAAAATGATTGCCCTCTAAGGTAGCATGTGGTAGCCATTTTGGCCGGGTGAGTAGAATGATAGAAAGTTTGCATATGTCACTGACAATAATATTAAAGAAATCAGAGTCATAAAACAGTTTATATTAAAATTAACATACATTACACCTTACCTTATGTGCAAATATAATATTATACAAAAATGGAGTTAGTTATTTAAAATAGTCATTTATGTTCTTATAAAAATAAATAGTAAAAACATGTAGCAAAACACTACCACATGAGCTACATACTTTTATCTTAAAAAACAGAAAGAAATTATTAAACAGGACTCCATTTCTGAATGGAAAAACCCTGCGTGGCATTGCTGTCATAATTAAGTCTTTTTAATCCATTTCTTCCTCCATGACTGTAACTGAGCATATCTATTCACAAATGTTAAGCTTCTGTTCTGAGTTACAGTAAACTGTCAGCCTTCTGCAGTTAGATCTGTGATCAGAAGTCCCAGATTTCCAATTGTCCTCTGCATGATCTATAATGTAGGTCTATTTGATAGATTTTATCTTTTATTATCCTTTACTTAAAAATCGTTTCTCTTTACTATATTGAAGAAGTGATAAAACATGAAATAGAAATAATTACCTACATTTTCCTAGATTGCAAACTTCCCATCCCATAGCAAATTAATGAGATGTGAATTTTAGGGAAAATCTGACTCAAGGTGTAAACATGATTAAAATTATTCCAAGAGTACAGTACCGTTTTAACACTATTGTTATGACCCCAAGTGTCTAGGGGTAAAGGGGTGTAACATTTAGGATAATTTTTGGGGGATGCAGGTGGGTTCTGGTGAGGGACTAGGAAGCATGTCAGCAAGGGTTGGTGCAAAAGTGAATATTTTAAGGTGAATAAGTGACTGGTATGAAAGTAGGATGCAATAACACACAGGGTAAGGGAACTAGAGTGGTGCCAAAGGAAAGAAAATAACAAACAAAATGGAGCTGACTAAGAAAGTGAGGGAAAGCTGACCTAACTACAAAAGAAAACCCAAAACACACGGTCTTCGGCATCCTCAAACACCCTAGCTAACCTCCACTGACTACCCAAAACCATACAAGACAAACGCCACTCACCCGTACTAAACTAGTGTGACTAATTCAAAAATCAACTATGTGTGCAGAATATACCCAACAACCTAAACTAACCCTATACACAAAAGTTCACACAAATACACAAGTGAACTCGTAATACAAATAAGGGAAAATGAGAGTAGTTACAGTAGTAGAACAGGAACAGGGTACAAAAGAACAGTTTGGGCACGGTAATGGCGAAACAAGGATAAACACAAACAAACTTAAGTACAAAGTGATGAAGAAACCAACAAAAGCTGAAGCTATATGAAAACAGACACACGCAAAGCAAAACAACAAACCAACAAAGCAAAAGCAAAAACCAAAAGCGAAATGAAGCAAAGCAAAACCAAGCGGGACCAAAGTCAAACGAAAGGCTCCTTCCTTCTGAAAACCTCCATGTTATATACTGAATAAGATGAGTTCTGATTGGTCGAGAGTTAATTGAAGATGATGTAATACGTAAACAATGGTGTAATGATGGACCAATGGGTCCATCAAAGAACAATCAAAGTCAGAAGTGTGGAACAACAAAAACACACATGGACTACACACTGGGATGTAACACTATAGTCAATTAGTTTAACTTGCCTTCATTTACTACACATACAGTACATTATAACCTGTAACCTGTGTCAAGCACAATCACTGACCTAGGCCAAACCATTTCAGGTGAAGGGAACTGTTATATTTTAAAAAGAGTTGTATTCACTTTAAATCCATATGTAATACATGTACACTATGATATGCATAGGCAACCATGAAACTCATATGAAAGTATTTTCTATGGTATAAGAAATTCAATTTTATGTAGCTTGTCAAACAGCCCTGGACAAGTTTTATGGAATAATAAGATACAGATTTCTCTAGGCTGTAATCTGTCACATACTGGAAAACCAAATTAGTAATTGTATTAATGAATATTATATATTGTGAGATACTGACAGTGAATAGTGGATAAAATTAATTCTTTGAAGCACCATTTAACTTTAAAATGAATTGATCTCTCTTTAGTCAGTCATTTTCCAGGATTCATTACTGATATTGGGAATAAAAATCCTACTTGCATGATACATATCTATTTGGAGTTGAAAGCAGATGTTTAAAATGCTTAACTGTTTAAAGATGTTTAACTGCTCAGTGAAATCTTCTTGACTTGGAGGATTTAAATAAGTGTTTAAGGGTTTAAAGAAGACATAGAAGTTTATAATCACTGAGAATTGTAATTGCCTTTTCCAATATGCAGCAGTAATAATATTCAGTGTGGAACTAAATGTTACCTTCACAAAGTTGGATGGAACTACAGTACTGTATGTCTTCAGTAGGTTTAGAAAAATTAATTACAAAAAATTAACTGTCAAAAAATTAATTACAAACAACAGGATGTAGCAATGTGTCTGTAAAATGATGGTGTTTTTCAGTTGCTGCCAGGAAAACAGACATAGTACTATAAGCATCCTGGCAGGAAACTACTTTCATCTTTAAAAGACTGACAATCCAGTGATTCCTTTATACATACTGCCAGGGTTTACATTCACTCTGACAACCCCACCTACCTCCATCCAGTTCATTTAGCAGATTTATCAGGTCATCCTCACTCCCCCAACTGGACACAGTGCAACCAATTATCATCTCAAAATGCGTGTAAATATACTTTAAAATATATAAAGAGGTAATCACAATATAAGAAATTAGCAAAAGAGAGTGTTCCTTTCAGCATCCAGTCTCTCACTAAAGGCTCAGCAGTTACAGCTTCATGGTCCTGCCAGGCTCATGAAGACTTTCTAGTGAGACCATTAAGTTATTTCCTAATAATATCCTGTATTTAAAATAAGACAAAAAATAACTGTGGAAAACATTGTAATTATATTTCCAGATGTGCCATTGAAGAGTGGATAAGCCATCCATCCATTTTACATACATTTGTAGATATTGTCTTATCTCAGCAAGCAACAGTCACAGGCAGAATATTTCCTGAACAGGATGCCAGTCCACAATGGGTAATGTATTTCACAAATAGAAACATATACAGTATAATCAGGTCACAATTATACAATGCAAGACTTTGAAATACAGACGATACAGTACATACTGAAAGAATGGTTAGTGTTTAGATAAACATGACAGACCTGTTGTAGCATACAGTACAAATTCTAACTTTATATTTATTTATTGAAAGTAATCATCCTTATTTTGTCAAAGCAAACTAATGTCAATCACTGCATTCTGCAAATTCAAAGACTGGGTTAACATACTGTAGTTACTATGTCCATCTTTATCCCCCATTGTTTAATATAAACCAAAATCCTTAAAAGATCATTAAAACAGTATACAGTACACACTTTTTCAATTTTTGGATGAGGTGTCCACTTGATCACTTCAAGTATTTTATACAGATTAGTGCAGCAAAACACTTTGCCAACTTTCAGTCAGATCAACAGGATGAAACACCTATGATACAGTTACTGCTTATTCAGACCCTTGATAAACAGCATTCAAGATAAAATGTGTAACCATGTTTTATGCTGTAAAATAATTACAGCATCATAGGAACCCAAAGAGTACGGCCGAAACGATCGACTTTATCTTGCAGAAAACTGAAACATCAACTGAAAACGCGCTGGTCTGTATATGAAAGACACAAACACTATTTGCAGTATTAATGCATTCTGCGATTAATCAGAGTACTGCTTTATTAACAAAATGTTTTTCAAAGATTATTCTGATGCTCTGAAAAACATTTTTTTGTTTGTTTAAATGCTTTGAGGATCAAACTTTAGATTTTTAGATCCAAAACAGAGTGTTAGAACACGCAAGTATACCTATACAAATATCTAAAATAATGAAATGTAAAATAAAATAAATTAGATATTTAATGGTAAAATGGTAAAGGGCAAGAGCCGGTACCTTAATAAACGCCTATATATCACTTGATTCTTATACGTGAAATGCACAATAGCACATAGAAAATTGCATGAATGAGAACTGAGTTCAAAGTGTCAGTGTCAGTAGAGTGATCTGATAAAGATTAACCGTATTGTAGAGATATACTTATTGATGATAACAACACTAAATAACAGTGATAATAAAAATAAAATAATAATGATAATTCAGAAGTTACTACATTTCAGTTTTTTCAAGGAGAAAACTTATGACATCTGCCGTTAAACGCGTAATGAAGTACAGAACGCTGTTAATTGTGATCACCACAATCATATCAGACACAGCCTTTATCTCCATTTCATTTAAATAGTAATTTTTTTTCTTACCTCGAACGAACACCGTACTTTACTCTTTAAGGCTCTGGGGAGTCAAACAACATTTACAAATACGAAAAGTTGTATTTAAAAGCTGTATGATTAATCTGTAGCAGGATTGTTGTAGGAATGACGGATTTTCAGCCTGACGGTCGTGATAAAGGAAAGGGGTCAAGGTCCGACACTCTCTACGGCGAAAATGAAAAGTGCTAACTGCTGCCAGGAGAAAGAAAAAGACACTCTAAGGCGTGATGCACAGTTTAGCGTCACTGCTAGGGGCTGGACCACAGACTAAAATTGGTTGATTAATTCTGCAAATAAATCAAGAATTGTTGGCACTGGCATGTGGTGAGATATGCTGATACAGTTACAATTATTCACATGTATCACATAGTAACACTTTTATTTTTTAAGTATTGCTAAAATGCTATTTATTGAATATAATTTATCGCATAATATTGATTGTTGTCTACACCATATTTGCAGCTACAGTAGTTACATACAGTACAAATAATAAAAGTGTTATAAACGGCAAGAATGCGAGTTATTTTTTTCTAAAACAGGAAAATCTGTTCCCTTCTTTTGATTTGTGTTTGCCATTATACTATAATACGTATTTTCCCCTACTGATTTATGCCTACTTTACTAGTATTTGCTTGTAGTATAGATTTAGCTGTTTTTGATATTTCTCTTCGACGAAAGAGGGCACTGTAAGCCAAAAAAAGGCGATAGTACAATGAAAGTTATACTTCGTTTTAATAAATGTGATTAATGACTAAATCATACAAGGAGCGTCTTGCTTTAAGTTGTTCTCAGTTGAACTTGCATTCCAGTATTTAGATTGTACCTTCAAACTTTTGTCCCCAAATCTCATGAATATTTACAACTAAACAAGTCACTTTGCTTTCACAAATTCCATAGTTTTTATCTTTTCTTATCTTGTACTATTTCCATTGTATATTCTTAATTTATAAGTAAAGATTCTGATTTTCCTGCTTTCATTAGATTTAAGTCAGTTGATCGATTGTGCAGCTGTGACGGTAAACTGTCCTGATGTGGATTCTTATTCTATCGTTCATTATTTTATTTTTTCATACAGCAGTCATAAAGTTTAAGATTATTATTCTCTACGTTATTGGTTTAATGAGTTGTTGTTTATAACTAATAGCATTTAAGCCCGTCTGTTTTTGTTAGGAAAATGACTGTCTACCTCTCTTAATTCCTCGTTATGCACTCGAGCTATCAATTCATAAAATATTTTAATCTACTGTACATCAAAACTTAATTGGGATTTAGCAATTAAATGCATTCACACATACGATTATATTAACCTTCTCAATGGTTACCATCTATCTGTAAATCACTAACTGCATAATTCAAATACGAGCATGCCGAAAACGTCAGTTATAATATTTTTAAAACTGACTCCCCATGGCGTGAATACGTAGTGTAGGAAGGCGGTTAGTGCTAATCTCTTACTCGCAGGTCATGTCATTGATTCAAGCGCCTTCATTGTGCTATTTCCGTTCTCCCTGTGTTTTGCGATTGCTTTTCTTTTCCCTTTCAAATGCATGGTGATGTGTTGTAATTAGTGACTACCAGGGTGTAGACCTGCCTCACTTTCAGGCTAGACTCCAGGTTGTCACAAGCCTTACTAAGAAAAAGAAGATTTTTAATAAATGATGGATAACTTGAAATAAATGTATTGAGCTTTACAAAAAGTGCCTTCACAAAATGGAAGCAGTGATACCAACTTTTAGCTTGACGTTATCTGATCTTAAAAGCTAAGATCAGATAACTGATCTTAGCTAAGCTAAGTGCCTGCCTGGATGATAGTGGGATGCAAGACCTCTAAGGAAAATCAGTTTACTGCTGTAAGTGGAGTTGGGGGACAAGAAGGTAGTGCTCTTCCCACTAGACCTACATTTCAAAGCCATTGCTCCTGTATTGTGACCATGAACACTGTGCTGTTGGAAGTGCCTTCCTTCAGATAAGATGTTTAACTGAAGCCCGAACTGCTACAGTAGCTCAGTAAACTCCCCTGGCACTGTTCATTAATGAACTCCAAAATGAAAGGTTAGAAGTTTAAATCCTGTGTGGGATGCTACTGCTCTACCCTTGGGGAACATACCTCACTCATTTTGCTCCTGTACATGTCCAGCTGTATAAATGGGTACTCTCCAAGTTACCATTGTAAAGGTTTATTTTTCTGAACTGACTCTTCTGGTCAAATCAAATATAAATGCCAATTGAAATAAAGCGCTAAACAGTCATAAAAATCACATCTAAAAGTTACACATGATGAAAAGAGAAACAGGCAATAAGTAATGTTATGGAATCACAATAATCAAAACCTCAGGCCCATTTCTTAGTCAGAATTTTTCAGGGTTCTGGTACTTAAATCATAGTCTGAGCTATTGTTAACCTTTGCAAACTCTTGTCACTCTTCATCCATGAAAAACCTAAAATGTTAAATAATTTAAAATCAAAAGGATGTTCTTTTCTACACCCAAACCTTCAAACACACATAAACAGTATATCCTATAAGGGATATAACCATGGGCAGTTGCTATAAGGAGTTATAATATGTTTTGTTGTAACAGAAAAAATAGGGCACTATTTAAAACACAAGGGTTGCAGAATTTGTTATCCTAAAAGGCCATTCTGAGAAAGGACTGGAATGCCACCTGAGCAGAAGAAACTGAGAGGGGATACAGTATTAACAGCACACTTATAGAGAAGCATAAATGTGTATTAAAGATAATATTTATATATGATCATGTTTTTTAGATATGAAACATATATTTATTGTAAATCCACAGGTGAATAGTTTATAAAATCACATTCATCAACATTTGGACAGCTGGCTGAAGGTAGTGACGGCACTAAATATGATTTACTTCTGCTGTGATCTGGTCTTCATTTTCAAAACGGGGGAAAGATTCTATTCCTGCGATATATTGTGAAAAAAAACGAAAGAGAAGAAAATAATGAAGGTTTGAGAAAGAAAGCTAAATCCCACGTGTACATTTTTAAAATAATTGATGATTTTAAAGCTTTACTCACTTGTTGAATGTGGAACATTCAAACCAATTAAGTGCTTAAGTGAAATGACTGGCTAAGATAATTATAACATTTTAAACTGAAGTGATCATATACATTCTAAATTATGGAGTTCAGTAAGGCATTGTGCTATTGTGACTCATTCTGAGAAGTTCATTGTTTTTTTTTACTATGTCATATTTACAGTACTGAGTAGTTCTGTGTAATGTAGTAATGTTCTGTGTCTTTCTGACTTCTAATATGAAAATACAACAACTCTTCACTGAATATAGGATACCTCAATAGGATGCTTAAAATAAAAGTAATAGAGCAGACAATCACTGTGGAGGACCATAAAGGGTCTAGCCACATGTTCAGTTTAGATACAGTTCACCCCTAGGTTTCAGATTCATACAGTACTGTAACTGTTGAAAGCAGGTGATAACTCTCCTAGAGGTTATCATTGGCTCTGTTCCTCTGGAATATGGAACATTAGGAAAATACCACACCTCTCCCAAAAACTGGAAAAAAATATTGTCCCTGTGCAAGATAAATATTGACATTACTTTCATTTATCACATTTTGCTGTATATCATCTTCTTTCACAGTCAAGGCTTCAAACATATTACAGTGTAACAGCGTGAATCATATTTTGCATCTACTATCTTTACTCCCAGTTATATATATTTTTTTTTATTGTAGGGACTAGTATCAGAAATTTAGAGATTTTGTCATGTTGCTGAATTAGGAAATGCAGGGAAAATAACATAAACAATATATATATTATATACTGTTATCTGTTACACACATTCATACAGTATATGCACTAATAAGGAAAACACCAATACATATTTTTGGTATCAGTACTCATTTTCTGCACTAAAAAGTACAAATTCATACATGTGCAAATATTTCTTTTTAAAGATAAATGCCATGTGGATTTTAACAAAATAACCTATACAGAACAGTAGTGATGCACAATACATAGAACTGTTTCTCTAAACCAGATAGCGCATTCCAGAGTTATAAACTTTGTCTGCTAAGCATTAAAAGGAAGTAAATACTTCATAAAATATAAAAATACAAAGTCATTTGTATTTAATTTACTTTTGGTCTCTCCAATACTCAACATTTGCTGTTTTAGACCAAAAAAAAGATACAGTAGCTGAATTGCTGTTGCTTTGGATGTGTAGGAAGGTGGAATATCATTCATGGTATCTTGTTTCTTCATCTCCAGAAGATTAGAGTGGTGTGACTGGCACTATTCTTCATATACTAGCAGGTCATCTTGAAACAGCACCTTTCTGCCTAAGAGTACCTCCTTCTCCAAATGAAGAACACCATTATGTAGATAAGGATGGTTGGCACCAACCCTGACGATCCATTTTAAATCGCTCGTTCACATCAACTGACCCTCAATAACGCTCCATCTTGACCTAAGGCTATGCAAACTGCATAACTCTCCAGACATAGTGGAACCCAGACATCTGTGTGCCCTGATCTATATTGGCTACATGGTACAGAATGTTAAATGGTTTTGACATTATCTATACTGGTACTGGTATAACTATTGTGCCTTCCCCATCACACATGGCTAAAAGAATATACCTGTACTTTAATTCAAGGTATGTTATAGTTGTACACTGCACTAGCAAGACCTTAATTAGAATATTGCTTACAATTTGGTTATTTGTTTTATTTGAATTACTGCCTGAATACACAGACATGTTTTCAGCCAAAAACAGTATCGGAAAGGGATTGGAGAAGTACAGAAATGTTGCTACTGCTCACCACAGTGTTGCTAATGCTTTAGAAGTGTCACCTTCTTTTTTATTGCATTGGTTTCAGGAGAGCTGATGCTTCCAATCTTACAGCTTTCAGGAAACCTTCCTACAAAAGCTATATACAGTCTTAAGTATATATTCACTGTCAGTGTGTAATAAAAATAGCTTTAAACTATTCAGTATTGTAAAGTGATTTACTAATGCTTCAAACTTACAGCTCACATACAGTAGGCATGACAAGAGCAAGTGTTATGACTGAAGTACGGTATAATTGAATTCACTCTTCTCTCTTTTTAAATACTTTTCCCATTAATCCTATTTTGAAAACACTGTCAATCAGAAACATGGTAGCAGCTCCATGTGAAGAAAGTTTTTTTT